GGAGCCAATGGATCAGTATTACAGCCTGGAGAAATAATTTTCATATTTTGTAAAAAGGACCCCAGACACCCTGTGACAGCTATGGAATGATGGTATGGTATGGTATGGTATGGTATGGAATGGTATGGAATGGTATGGAATGGTATGGTATGGTATGGTATGGTATGGTATGGTATGGTATGGTATGGTATGAGGTGGAATGGTATGTGGCATCCATACCATGGTATGATGGAATTGGTATGAGGGTCATACCACTCTGGAATGGGGTACCACTAAGGTTCCCTAATTCAAAGAATTGGATAACCTCATAGGTACCCAAAAATGGGTGACTGAAGTGATTAATCATTCCATGACCATTCCAGCATCATTCCATATGGAATCCATGATGTCCATGGAATCAGAAACTGGCTGTGTCCTCAGCCAACATTGATTCCATGGATTCCATATGGAATTCTTCATGGATTCCATGGATTCCACATGGATTCCATATGGATTATACCGGGGAAGGTAAAGACCTCCCCTCCTCCTTCATTGCCTATAACCACTTTTTCCCCCCTCCCTCATTGCTCATTGCCTACAACCCCTCCCCTCCCACATTGCCTACAACTCCTCCCCTCATTGCCTACAACCTCTCCCCTCCCTCATTGCCTACCACTCCTTTCCTCCCTCATTGCCCACCCCCCCCCTCTCTCTCTCTCTCTTCCCCTCCTTTCCTCTGCCTCTGTTTAATAGTCAATACTGTGGTGTAAATTTATGTAGTTAGATTCAATAAATTGCAGCTTTGTCTGGTGAAATCTAAAGATACATCCTCAAATTATATATCCTGGATATATTCTGTAATTATGGGCAAGGATGACATATATTCATGATCCTGTTCATGATATAGATCAAAAATATCCTGGTTCAAGATATAGTTGAAAGATATATCCTGGTTCAGGATATAGTTCAAAAATATATCTTGATCAGAATGTAGTTGGAAAATATAGGATATAGTTGAAAAATAATGTATGTTGATTCAAGATATAGTTGAAATATATATCTTGGTTCAGGATTTAGAGGAAATATATAACATATATGTAGTTGAAAAATATATCTTGGTCCAGGATATAGTTTGAAAATATATCCTGGTTCAGAATGTAGTTGGAAAATGCAAGATATAGTTGAAAAATAATGTATCTTAATTCAGGATAAAGTTGATAAATATATCTTGGTTCAGGGTATAATTGAAATATTCAGGATACAATTGAGAAATAATGTATCTGGGGTGGGATGTTGATTTTCCAGACACAGCATTAGGGTGTTTCACAGTAGGCCAACTGGCAACCAACTTTTGCAAAGTTGGAAGGACAAAGTTTGGCCAACTTCATCAAGTTGGGATCCAAATCGTGGTCCTGATGCCAATTCGGAGCCAACTTTGATCCCAACTTCACCTCTCAACTTCCCATGTGTCCAAAATAGGCAAAAATCTGCACTTGGAAGTGATTTCAAGCACAAATCAGCCCAACTTCATGTTTTTGGCAGTTCCAGGTGTTTCACAGTAGAGGTGGCCAACTTTCCCATCAAATTTGTTGAAGTTGGCCCACAAGTTTGGATCAAAGTTGAAAGCAAAGTTGGCCTACTGTGAAACACCCTATTGGAGAGGAAAGCTGGTAAATTGGTTGTTGTATTTGGAAGTGTTCCTCTTGCTAACCTAAAGTGATGGAGTTGTTTGGGGTGGGATGTCAAAAGTTCTCTAATGCGGACTGTATCCATAGTGTCATTTGAAGTGGATAAGAAGGGAACCATATAAAATACAAAGAAGAACCCCATATTATGACATGGTGAACAGAATTTGTTAGAGGAGAATGGAATTTGTTGTCCATAAATTTACAATCAAGAGTCAAGGGAAAGAGAAAGAGAGAGAGGAGGAGAGGGAGAGGAAAGAGAAAGAGAGAAACAACAAAGTACTTTGTCAACTCTGACTAGCTAAAAAATTGTGTAATGTGAACTATATTCATAGTGTCATTTGAAGTGGATGATAGTTAGGCAACTCAGATGTTATGGAAGGGGGTGTGGTGAAATAGCTTCAATATAGCAGCATGGTGCTGTATTAAGAACAATTCTAGATGTTTCTGAACTTGTTGATGAAGAAGCACTCATATGACACCACCATGTCCCCACCTGAGGTAGAAGTCAATCATAAGTCGACAAGAAAGTATCACCCTCTTCTGAAACAAGCAGAAGTCAAATGTTCAAGATGGGATGTCGGTTTGCCAAACAGATCAGCATAGAGATGCTATTGATGCTCCTTATTGCTACCTACATACTGGGAGCACAAGCCAAACATAGTGCCAAAACCCCTGGAAGTCATGGCAGAAACTTCCAGAATATATACCCCAGACAGCAAAAAATCACAAGTTTTTTTGCTAAAACTAAGACCCCTGACACCACTACAGACCAGAAAAATATATCCTTACCACATCTGTTTGACAAAATATATCCTAAGGCAAAGCCAGGGCAAAAATATATTTTTAAGGTGTGACAGTGACATTTCAGGGTCCACTCACCAAAAATATATCCTTACTGCATTTCACTTGCAAAATATATTTTGGTGGTGTGACACAGACATTATAATTTTTGTGTGACATTTCAGGGTCCATGTGTCAAAAATATATTTTAGATTTCAGGGCTTTCTAGGACCCATATATATCTAGAATATAGATATGGTCCATGACATTTAGTCATGTAACTTACGTGGAGTTTGCATGACTAATAGTCAGTTGGCACTGGGTGACTGAAGTGACATAAGTTTGTAGTGTCTGCTTTTTGAGACTACAGAAGTTTCTAGTGTCCCCTTTTTTTAGACTACAAAAGTTTCTATTGTCTGCTATTTGAGACTACAAAGTCGTAGTGTCCACTTTTTTGAGACTACAAAAGTTGTAGTGTCCCCTTTTTTTGGACTACAAAAGTTTGTAGTGTCTGCTATTTGAGACTACAAAGGAGGACTTTACACTCCCCCACATATTCCAGTTGGACTCCAGATGGACTCCGGCGGACTCCAGATGGATTACTGCTGTTCATCCAGTATTTTTTCGAATTTTTTCTTTGGTGGCAACCCAGCCAAATGTTAGTCTAGAATCCACCTGGACTCCAGCTGGACTCCAGGTCCACCATCTGGACTGCATGGACTCCACCTCATGACACAGTCAACCAGCCAGACTCCATATGGAGTCCAGCAGGAGTTTACAATTTCTGTTTATTTATTACTGTTATTATTAGACAAGGAAAAAAGAATGCCATGACCGGGAATTGAACACTCGATCACTTGGGCAGCTTTTACCACCGCAATAAACCACTACACCACGAAGGCTTTATTAGCTGCACAATATTCACACATCATATACCCTCGCTCCCGGCACGTTCCGAAAGCTGGCCAAACACGTTGGCTTTGTTGCCACATCATCGTCTTTTGTCTTCCCACCACCACCTTCCCTCCATATTCAACCTCATTCAACACACCCGACCATCGCACCTCGTTTAAACCCACCACCACGCACGTATGGCGAAAAAGAAGACCACGCCAACAAAGTCGAGGAAGCGCCAAGCATCAAACGCTGACGAGCAGCCAGTCAAACGCAGCCGACGCAGGCAGAACGACGACAACGACGACAAGCAAGAAGATTCCGACCAGTGGGCCGACGAGGAGCAGACCACAAAGACCAAAGGAAGGGCAGGAAAGGGGGAAAGCGAGGGCGGGCGAAGGCACCTGCCCAAAGGTGCGTACGCCCGTAATCGATGGCAATCATCGATGACGATTGCCATCGATCGGGTGCGATTTTTGCCCCAATTCCTCACCACTAACGATTTCTACAGGAAAACCGCCCAGGACCGCAATCGAGAAGACACGGCGCTTGCATCGCCGCCCAGGTCAAAGCAAACCCCATACGTATCCCCTCCCCTCGTCCTTTTTTTATTTTTCATTTCTATTCTAGTGCCGAGCGCGTGTTGTCCGCCAGCGGCATTAGTGTCGCACCCCCACGTTGATCCCTTCGCCGCACTGATGCCACCTCTGGACAACAACCCACACCAGCCGACGACTCGACCCCTGCTCAGCCCATGCTCACTTCCGCTACCCAACGCCACCAGGCTGCCAAACCACGTGGTGGCCCCAATGAAACCAATGATGACAACCACCCCCTCCAAGATACAAACAGCGATGACATGAACGGACCCAACAAAGACGAAGAACCAAACAAAGACCAAGAAACCGAAGACACCCAGCATGACAACGACAACAACAACAACCAGCACGACGAACAGGACGACGAACGGCACGACGAACAACACGACGAACGGCATGACAACACCGGGAGTGCCACCTGTCCACACACCAAGCGTGCCCATGTCAGCACCAACACCCCCAGCACCAATGCTGCCACGCGTCAGCGGGCCACGCCCACCAACGCCAGTACCAACACCCCCAGCACCAACACCGCCACACGTCAGCGCGATGTGCGCGCCAACATAATCAACACAACCCCACACCAGCGTGTCGCGCCTGCCAACGTCAACACCAGCACCATCAGCACCAATGTGGCCACACGTCAGCATGCCGCGTCCACCACGTGCATGGTCATGGGGAAGCCCAACACTAACGTAGATAGCCAACGTAATGCAGATAAGAACAACACAGGTGCGTTAACACTACCATGTCTTATCACAGTCAGGATAGTGGACCACCTATCCTGACTGTGAAAACTCATCTCGACGTCGGGATGGTAGGTAACCCACCACCCATCCTGATAGTGAGATGTCAGGGACTTGTGTCCATCCTTCATCCATCATGGGTGAAGATGTTTTTATTTTTATTTATATATCATGTATTATTACAATGACTTGGTGCTAAGTAAACTGTTTAGAAAATTCTCGTGGGCGGCAGCCGAAGCGTGATGGCAATCCAAGTCAAGCAGCATCTACACACCATGAAGGTACTCTTTACCTATCTGTGTTTCATTCTGTTGTATTAAACTTTCTCAAATACAGATACAGTTATGGCTAGTCCACCAAAAGGGACAATTCCTGCATATGGCTCATCACGTTCGACTGGTGGAATCTTCCGGGGAAAAGCTCTGGGCAATTCCATTAACATCGGTGATGCTGTTGAAGTCTGGGAGGAGATGGATGTTTTTAGAGAGGGTCTAGCTCAGAAACCAGTCAAGGGAAAGATTCACTTCTACATCTCAAACCTCAATCCACCCGATATTGACATCACCAAGTCCTCTTTTATTGCCAATGTCTCTGATATCAGCAAGTGTGAAACCATTCAAGATGTTATTGGTTGTGGATCCCGAGACTATTCACCTATTCGACGTGAGTTTGATAAATTTTCTGGTAAATATATATTAATCACTCTACATAGAACCTGCCTATCGCCTCTTCAAATATGAAGAAGAGGGCTGGAGTGTCCAAGGACACTATGAATCAATCATGAAGCGCAAACCAACAGATGAAGACTATGTAGAGTGGTTGGATGATGAGCAGAACAGAAAGATTATTCGTATTTTGGGTGTAAGTCATTTATTAGACTCTTTTTGAATTATTTTAATGAAAAGTCTGGTTTCTAGACTACATTTGATCCTAGTCTCTCAGTATCTTTGCCTGGATTTACAGGCCATCTTGGTTCTAGCATTGGGTCTCGTTCTGTATCTGCACACTCTGGCTCTCGTGCAGGCTGTCGTATTACATCTGCTGGTCATTCTTCATCCACTGTCGAACAAGGTTCATCTCTAGGTCACTGGTTCATTGGAAAAGACAAACTGTCTCCAGCATTGAGAAACCGTCTTGTTGAAGAGCTTAATCTCAATGCTAATTATACAAATTGTTCAGCTACAGGCCTGTGCTTTGCCTGGGGACGATATTTAGAATGTACTGCAGCTCTTGCACGGGCCAAAGAAATGGTAGCAGTTGGAAGTTGGCCATCTGACATTCCTGCTTTTACGGAATGGATGGTAATTGAAGTCTTCATTGGGAGGTCAACTTGGTATGCCAACTATGTTCCAGCCTTTGGAGCAATTGCAGACGAAGAAACAGCCTTTCCTGAAATGAGGGACTGGTTGGATAGTCCACCAGATCAAGTCCTTCGATCTGATACTGAGCATCTTTGGGGTATTCGGGATCAGCTGTCTTTTACTATGGAGGAAATAAAGAAGTGGCAGGACAACGGTGGAACTTTGGACAAAAATTATAGTCCAACTCCTAGTCCAGAACTAGATGGCTCATCAAAAGGAAAGGGCAAGGGAAAGGTTAAGGCTCAGTCAAAGTCTCACAAGAAATTGAAGTAGTAGATTTTTTCTTCTTTATTTTCAGTTCAAAGTCACTAATGTTTTTTCTTTGTACTTGTAGCTCAGTTTTGAACAGTTTTCCTTTTTTTTACAGATTTGTAGTGTCTCTTGGCTCTCTTGGTTTCACCATCATATGCACTTTATTCTCTCTTTTGAAAGGCTTTACTTCCACTGTGACTGCTTTCTCATTTATGACAATTGTAGTGTCTCTTGGCTCTTTTGGTTTCACCATCATATGCACTTTATTCTCTCTTTTGAAAGGCTTTACTTCCACTGTAACTGCTTTCTCGTTTATGACAAGGCTATGCATTATTCTTGCCTTTGTGCCTTTGGTCTCTGCAGCTCCCAAAACACAGCCATTTCCCAATCTGCCATTCAAAGTTTTCAGTGGATTTGTAGAACAAACATTTGGTCCAAATATATCATTGGCTACAGTGCTTCTTCTCTTATTTACAATGACTGAAAATCCTGAATTGCTCAGTCTACATGCCCGCCAACAGCATCCAGCTGAGGGTGAAAATAAAACTGTAGCTTCTGGATGGATTCGTTCTTTGTCACGTGCTATAATGCACCGATTGAAGGATGATATTAAAACAGTGCTTCGTCCTGGAGAATATCGGCCAAAGCAAAATCACCAAGTCACAAAATTGTCTATCAAACTTGATGCATTTGCAAACTTATTGAATCTTACCCCATATGACCATTGGGGAAAGTTCAAAGAGAGACTGCAGCCAGTTTCCTATATTGCAATTCGAGCAGTTCATGCTATTTGTCCTGATAGCATTACTTGTGTTGATCAATGGTGTGCTTCTAGAGCTCTTTTGCAAACAACCAGACCAAGAGATGTCCCATTGGTTACCTTAATCAAAGACAATATTCCTTATGAGGATGTTCCTGTTCTAACAGGCAAATGCATGCAATGTGGTGCTATCTATTATGCAGATCATGAGCGCTTTAAAGATAACTATGGTTCTTGGACCAAGTGCTATCTAAATTCTGCACGATTCCTAAAGATAGGACAGTCTACTTGGGTTGACAGAAATTTTACACACTCTGTTCTTAGTGGAGTGTATAATTTCCATGCATCAGCCTCTGCATATACACAGCATTGGAATGATTGTGCTTCAGTTACTGACTCCAAGGTCCAAGTTACCCGGCGTCATATTTGGCAGGCTTTTGTTCAGGAATCAATCAGAACAATTGCAAGTGTGAATAGCAACAATTTGGAGTTGCCTGACAACTTGAACATTGAAGAAGTTGAGCTCTTTACACTCCCCCACCTATTCCTACTGGACTCCTACTGGAATCCCGGACTCCTACTGGATTCTACTAGGACTCCAGCCAATTTCATATCGCCTAAACACCATACAAATTTTGCATCTCAGTCCTACTGGAGTCCTAGTAGATTCCTACTGGAATGATCCCAAATCACAAGGAATTAAGGATTCCTAAGGAATGGGTATAGTGGAGTCCAGTACAAGGAGTCCAGTAGGAGTCCACTAGGAATTTCCGAGTACAAGGAGTCCAGTAAGTCCAGTAGTTTGTCACTATTATTGTTATTATATCCTATATATAAATGTACAACGCTTACTAAGAATTATGTAATAGATCATGTAAGCAACGTTCTGACTTTGTGTTGAGTGTGTCGGTAACAAACAACCCTCATTATCAACAAACAAAGGGCAGAAACACAAGGTAGCCACATGTTAAATTTCCTCCACCACAACACATTGCATTGGTGTTTCCTGCCCCCATCTTACCTTCCAACCATTCAATTTCGCTTTTTTGCACCATTTTTTTCACCCACCACATGTGTGTGGGGGTCTTTGTCAGTGTATTTTCGCTTTTTTGAATCATTTAGGCTCATTA